AAGAAGCAGAAGACTTCCCAACTCCTTTTATGAGGCCAACATAATTCTAATTCTAAAACCAGAAAAAGACACTACAAAGAAAAAAAACTACACACCAATATCCCTGATGAACACAGACGCCAAAATCCTTAACAAAATATTAGAAAATCGAATCCAGCAATACACCAAAAAATTATTCATCAAGACCAAATGGGATTCATCAAAGGGATGCAAGGATGGTAGAATATTCTCAAATCAATAAACGTGATACACCACATAAATAAAATGAAGAATAAAAACCACATGATCATATCAATAGATGCTGAAAAAGCCTTCGACAAAATACAGCATCCATTTCTGATAAAAACGCTCAGCAATGTGGGAATAGAGGGATCATATCTAGACATAGTAAAGGCCATATATGAAAGACCTACAGCCAACATCATACTCAATGGGCAAAAACTAAAAGCATTTCCCTTAAGAACAGAAACAAGACAGAGATGTTCACTTTCACCACTCTCATTCAACATAGTACTGGAAGTCATAGCCACAGTGATCAGACAAAAGAAACAATAAAAGGCATCCAAATTGGACAGGAAGAAGTGAAACTGTCATTATTCGCAGATGACATGATATTGTATACACAAAACCCTAAAGACTCCACTAAAATCTACTAGATTTAATTAATTAATTCTGCAAAGTAGTAGGATAAAATTAACATCCAGAACTTGATGGCATTTTTATATACCAAAAATGAACACTCAGAAAAAGAAACTTAATAAAATTCCACTTACCATTGCAACAAGAACTACAAAAATTAAGATACCTAGGAATAAATTTAACCAAGGAGGCACAGAACCTGTTCTCAGAAAACTGCAGGACATTGAAAAAAGACACAGATGAAGATATAAATAGTGGAAGCATATACCATATGCATGGATTGGAAGAATCAATATCATATCCATACAGTCCAAAGCAGTCTATAAATGCAATGTAATTCATATTAAAATACCAACAGCAAATTTCACAGATTTACACCAAATATTTCAAAAGTTTATATGAAACAAACAAAAAAAAGACCTTAAATAGCCACAGAAATCTTGAAAAAGAACAACAGCGTAGGAAGGATCACAATACCGGATATGAGGTTATACTACAAAACCATTGTAATAAAAACAGCCTGGAACTGGCACAAGAACAGGTATATAGATCAATGGAACAGAACAGAGAACCCAGAAAATGACCCAAGATATTATGCTCAATTAATATTTGACAAAGGTGGCAAGAGCATACAATGGAGTAAAGACAGGCTCTTTAATAAATAATGTTGGGAAAATTGGACAGGTAGATGCAAAAAAAAATGAAGCTAGACCACCAACTTACACCATACATAAGAATAAACTCAAAATGGATAAAAGATTTAAATGTAAATCGTGAAACCATAAAAATCATAGAAAAAAATATAAGCAGCACAATCTCAGACATCACACATAGCAGAACTTTTCACCAATACATTGTCTAGGGCAAGAGAAACAAAGAAAAAAATTAATACATGGGACTACATCAAACTAAAAAGCTTCTGCAAAGCAAAAGAAACCAACATCAAAATGAAAAAGGAGCCCACTGTAAGGGAGAACATATTTGCCAATGATATATCAGATAAGGGGTTGATTTCCAAAATATATAATGTACTTATACAACTCAACAAAGGTAAGACAATCCAATTAAAATATGGACAGAGGACCTAAATAGACACTTCTGCAAAGACGATGCACAAATGGCCAAGAGACATATGAAGAAATGTTCAATATCACTAATCATCAGAGAGATGAACATTAAAACGACTATGGGATACCACTTCACACCTGCCAGAATGGCTACCATCAACAAATTATCAAACAACAAGCACTGGTGAGGATGTGGAGAAAGGGGTACCCTAGCACATTGCTGGTGAAAATGCAAACTGATGCAGCCACTGTGGAAAACAATATGGTGTTTTCTCAAAAAATTGAAAATGGAACTGCCATTTGATCCAGTGATCCCACATCTGGGAATATATCCTAAGAATCCGGAAACACCAATCAGAAAGAATTTATGCATCTCTATGTTCATAACAGTGCCATTTACAATAGCTAAGATCTGGAAACAGTCCAAGTGTCCATTAGTAGATGAGTGGATAAAAAAGCTGTGGTGCATTTACACAATGGAATACTATGCAGCTGTGAAAAAGAAGGTTCTCTTACCCTTTGAGACAGCATGGAGGGACCTGGAGACTATTATGCTAAATGAAATAAGCCAGTCAGAGAAAGACAAGCGTCACATTTTCTCACTTATATGTGGAATATAATGAACAAAATAAACTGATGAACAAAATAGATTCAGAAACATGGATGCATGAAATAAACTGACAAATCTTGGGGTGGTAAAGGAGGGTGGCGGTGGGAAGTGATTAACCAAATAATTTATATGCATAACCCATGGACACAACAATAGTAGTGTGGTGAAGGCCTGGTGTGGGGGGCAGGAGTGGGGTGGAGGAGGTCAATGGGGGAAGGGGGCATCTGCAATACTTTCAACAATAAAGATAAATTAAATAAATGCATAAATAAATAAGTAAAACAGAGCTCTTAAAGGTGGTGCCTGCACTAGCAGCATCAGGAACTAGTGAGAAAGGAAAATTCTCTGGCCACTACTGGAACAGAAATACTGGGGGTGGGTCCCTGTAATCTGTGATCTAGTCAGCCCAAGAAGTAATTTTAATGTATGCTCAGGTTTGACTACCACTATTTTTTAAATATTTTTCTCACATTTCTTATATACACATAAAGCACATGCCATTGGTGATAGCCCTATCCTTCCTAAAGCTGAACAGTCACCATATATTTTCTAATGATTCTAAAGTCCTAAGAGGCTCAACTTTTTTTCAGTCAGACAATTTCTCCATACCGCTGGGCAGACTCGCTGAATATGCCAATTTCAGCATTTTCAGCTCTTCAGAATGCCCAAAGCTCCAGATGGAGTGGCCTGAGGTAGAATGCCATCATGCTATTTTTAAGGAAGGCCTATTTTAGCTGGCTCAAATCAATAAAAGGCCTAATAATACCTCAGCACACTTATGTTCAGCTATCAGAAGTAAGGTATTCTTTTTTTTTTTATCCTCACCCGAGGACATTTTTCCATTTTTTGTTCAGGTAGAGTGGGAGGGAGAGAGAGGAACAGAGAGAGAGAGAGAAACATCGACGTGAAAGGAACACATCGAGTGGCTGCCACCTGCACAACCGACCAGGGCCGGGGACAAACTGCAACCGAGGTACGCGCCCTTAGCGGGAACCGAACCCGGGTCTCTCAGGACCGCAGGCCGACGCTCTAACCGCTGAGCCAAACCGGCCAGGGCTAAGAAGTAAGGTATTCTTTATCAGATCCTGTGGTGGCAGATGCAGAGAAGGAACCCACTGCTAGCTGAAATTCTGTAAGGGAGGAGTGTCCTTCTATGAATGCCTCCAGGGTGAGACAAGAATGAGACATGTTCTCAAGAGTTGCAGAGTTGCTCACACCAGCCACCTGGGATCCTGGTAGGTCTCACTGCTCTGGTCTGAAACATGTTAAAGCTAGCTAGCTTGCCCATTCTCTTTTTTGATCTTCTCACCCTTTCCCTTGGGTGTGGACCTCTGGGTCCACAGCTGGCATACCAGAGGGTGAGGGTTTCATCTTTCTTAATTCCTAACCCTACCTCTGGTCTCAGTAAAGCCTTCCTGGACGGACACTGCAGAGTAAGGACACTTGTAGGGCATGTCCTGAGTCAGTAGTTGCAACGGATGGGGTCACAGCACCAGGCTGGTACAAAGTAGGGAAGATCACCTGAGGGGTCATGAAGCCCCAGGGCGGGGTGGGAACAGTGCTGGCTGGAGGCCACCTGAGGAGCCTGCAGTGACAGCGCTCCAAAGCTCCAACTCACTGGGGCCCTGCAGAAAAGCAGACCTAATAGGCAGGCCTTCTGAGTTTTCCAGAAAAGCTAGAAATTTCCATTGTTATAGACACTTTCCTAATTTTTAAATATTTGCCATTAATACAACAAAATTTAATCATAATAACCTAAATCAAATTACGAGAAAACACTGAACAAATCCAAATTGAGAGACATTCAAAGAAAAAAGCCTGACCTGTTCTTTTCAAAACTGTCATTGTCTTGAAAGACAAAGACTGGGAAATTGTTCCATATTACAAGAGATTGAAGAAACAGACACTTGAGTTCAATGAATGACCTGGATTTACATCTGCTATAAAAAATATCATGAGAACTGCCAGTGAAATCTGAATAGGGTCTGTGGTTAGGTGACAGGATTGAAGGAATAGTAACTGCTTGACTTGATCACAGTGCTACAGTTATAGAAGACAACATCCTTGCTTTTAGGAAATATACACTGAAGTATTTAGTGATGAAGGGGCATTACATCTGTATCTTACTCTTAAATGGTTCATATGGTTCTCTATAGATGGGTAGACATAGAGAAAGAGCAAGTAAAGAGAATAATAAAGCAAATGTGGTAAAAGTGTTAACATTTAGGGAACTGAAGTGCTCATAATTTTTCTTTAACTGTAGAATTTTGTTAAAACAAAAAGTTAAAAATTATTTTCCAAGTCAAACAAAATCCATCTGCCAGCAGGATACTGGTTTCCAACTTCTGGCCTCTGGGATCTTTGGGTCTCAGAATATCTCCTATCCTGGAGGATCTTTTCCCCTCACCCTAACTCTTATCCATATCCCTAGAGACAGGGAAAAGAATCCACAGCCGCCTGGGCAGCTAGAAGGACCTCACATAAACCTAAAAACCTAAAACCTGTTAACACTGGGAAGGGGCTTGATGCCACAGCTTGAAAGATGGCTTGGCATGCCACCTGGAAGGGCATAGGGAAGAAGAAGGGGATGGTGGCTCCAGGGGTGCTGGGCAAACCAGGAGCAACATTGCTTATTTCTCCCATTTCTGTCACTAAGCATACCCCTAGGTGGATTATTCACCAACCTCACACACGACAGCATGATTCTCCTCATCTTGGGCCTCTATTAGTTCAGCCAAAAAGTATTCACCGTAAGTTGATCTCAGAATTGTGTCGTGTTGCATAAATATTGGCATGAGATCATCATGGTCTTCCACCCTGTTTAACAGAAAGGCTTAAGTTCAGTGTTTTTTCTTTCAAAGGAGCACCTACTGTGTGCCAGACCCTGTTCTAAAGGCCAGGAATACAACCATATGCACAGGAAATTAACTTACACTCTAAAGGAGAAACAGATGATAAAAATGTTAACAAATACATCACTTCACAGATTTCAAATAGTGATAGTGCTTTGGGATGGAGAGGGACGGGGTCAAGTGGTCAGGTAAGACCTCTCTGAGGAGGGGCATCTGAGATGAGACCTGAATGAGGAGAAGGGGAGGAAGCTATGTTGAGACCTGGGGTGGAAAATTCCAGGAAGAGGAAACACATTCAGCATATTTGGGTGTGAAATGTAGAGCTTGTCATGAGACAAAGGATAAAATGCTGGGGATGGCATTACCTAAATGTGTTCCAAAGAACACTACTTCTATGACATTGTCTCCAGAATCCTTTTCCTCCTCCCTAAAAAAATTCCACTGTCTGAAAACCATTTCCTACTACAGGTCCCCTCATGGAGTGTCACAGTTATGTATCAAGGACTCTGAGAAGTAATACAATAAAGAATTTGAACTTTGTTTATGCATCTCTCCAACACTGGCCTACCATATACTTTATTCTTGAGCTATTGCAACACTTCCCAACCTTTCTAATGCCGTGACTCTTTAATACAGTTCCTCATGTTGTGATGACCCCCAACAATAAAATTATTTTGTTGCTACTTCGTAACTGTAATGTTGCTATTGTTATGAATTGCCACTGGAAATATGTGTTTTCCAAAGGACTTAGGCGACCCCTGTGAAAGGGTCATTCGACCCCCAAAGGGGTCATGACCCACAGGTTGAGAACTGCTGCTCTACAGTGCCCTTGAAAACCAGTGCATGTGTGTGGCGGAGAGAGGACCCAAGAACCAGATGTATGGCAGCATAGTGATGCTGGTCCTTGGACCAATTTTGCTGCCATATTTAACATTTTTTTCTTTTCACTACATTTTTGGTTATATTTAGTGTTCTGTTTTACTCTCTAGGATGTTCTTATACTTTTATCCTTTTGTTATTAAAAATATACACATGTGCCCTGGACAGTTTGACTCAGCAGTTAGAGCATTGGCCTGTGAACTGGAGAGTCCCAGGTTGGGTTCCCACTAAGGGCACATACCTTGGTTGCAGTTTGTCCCCGGCCCTGGTTGGGGTTGTGCGGGTGGCAACCAGTCGATGTGTCTCTCTCACATCAACGTTTCTCTTCCTCTCTCTCTTCCCCCCTCTCTACCTCCCTCTCTATCTGAAGATAAATGCAAGAAAATGTCCTCAGGTGAGGAAAAAAAAAAAAGAAAGAAAAAAAAATACACACATGTGCATTATTTTTTTTGTATATAGCTCATGTGGCTACTAATGTCCTCCCCCCTTTTTTATTTATTTATTTATTTATTTATTTATTTATGTATTTATGTATTTATTTATTTATTTGTCAGGTGCCCCTAGCGGGAACCAAACCCAGGCCAACACTCTAACCACTGAGCCAAACCAGCCAGGGCTGTCCTCCCCTTTATTTCATTACTATGCCATCTTTATTATCCCACTTTATCTTCTATTGTGTTCTCTTTGATATTAATATTAGCTCTGTCTATTGAGTGATTCATATGTATATAAAGCTCAGGGCTTTATCTAGATTATCACAGCAACTACAGGAGGTAGGCACCATATTCACTCTGCAGATGGAGGAGAACAAGGGTCACGGGGATGATAGACCGCTTTGCTGGAGATGATAGGAACAGTTGGCAGCAGAGCTGTGCTAAGAACTCACGCCAGCCATCACATGCTACACTAAGCCAACAATGCACTTCAAAAATCTTTTTTTAAATTGGCATTCCTTTTTAAAATTGGTAGCAAGAAGCACAAGCAGTTGAGAGGAGAGATTTGGCTCAAGGGCAAGTTATCAACAACAATGTGGATTGTCCAGCCAGCCCTGCCACAACTCCTCCAACCCTTGCTGGAAATGATCTCCCCATCTTACCACAGCTCCACTCCCCAAATCTAAATGCTTTAAATGACCACCCTGGATGAAAATCTCCACCCTTCTCCCAGGATGAAGCCTTTACCTCTGGTGAAACAGGCTCATCTGTTGGAATAATGTTGGATTTTCATCAATAAGCAGCATCTTGATAAAAGAAATATATATTTGAAAAACTAGGTCTCTGCCCTATAAAACCTAAGAGCTAAGGAGAGAGCTAGCCAACAGACTATGGCACAAGAAGGGGGGAAAAAACCTCTTGTCAACACTCCCTGGAAGGATATTCGCTTATTATATTATCAACCTGGGTATGATGTCACCCAACAGTCTCCTTCCACATGCCAGAGCATCAGAAGGATTCTCTAGTGGTGAGCCAAAAACATGAAACCAGAAACAAACACCAACTGTGTTTTTAAGACAGACATGACCATTTCACAAACTATTCAGTTCTGCACTAATTTTTAATTTTTTATTTTTTCTTTAATGTTAATGTCTTTATTGTTGAAAGACAGATGTTCCTCCTTTTTTCCCCCATTGACACCCTCTTCACCACACTGTTGTCTGTGTCCATTGGTTATGCATATATGCATATAAGTTCTTTGGTTTATCTCTTCCCTCCCCACCCCCCAATCTGCTTCCCTCTGAGGTTTGTCAGTCTGTTCTCTACTTCCAAGTCTCTGAATCTATTTTATTTGTCAGCTTATTTTGCTCATTATATTCCACAAATAAGTGAGATCATGTGATATTTGTCTTTCTTTGACTGGCTTATTTCTCTCAGTATAATACTCTCCAGGTCCCTCCATGTCATCTCAAAGGGTAAGAGATCTCTCTTTCTTATAGCGGCATAGTGTTCCATTATGTAAATGTACCACAGCTTTTTTATCCACTCATCTACTGATGAACACTTGGGCTGTTTCCAGATCTTTGCTATTGTAAATAGTGCTGCTATGGCATGAAACTAGAAATCAATTACAATAAAAACACTAAAAATCATTCAAACACATGGAGGCTAAATAGCATGTTGTTAAAAACGAATGTGTTATCAAGGAGATCAAGAAAGAAATAAAAAACTTTCTGCACTATTTTTTTTTAAGTTGTCCTTGACCACTTGCCAATCTATTTTTGTGTGTATGTCATCTGTGGCTGGGTGTACTGAGGCTCCACAGTAAATGTGCCAAAGGCTCATGGAACATTTTGAAAGTATTGGAGACTAAACCATACAGTGTAGGGGTCACAGCCTGGGCTGGGAAGCCAGAATGCCTGGGTTTGGGTTTAATAGCTATAACCCTGGGTAAGTCGCTTAACCTCTTTATGCCACAGTTTTCTCATCTGTTATAAGGACAGTAAATGTTAAAATAATAATAGCATGTTATTATTATTAACACTATTACTACTTAGGAAGGGTCTGTAGAACATTTATAATCAATGCATGTAAGAGGTTATCACTACAAGGGCTCTAGTTGCCCCTTGGCCACTGTAGGTATAAACTCATCCATTCCACTGACTATCACTAATCTGTTTAAAACCCTGCTTTCTTCACCTCACTCCCTTACTCAAAAGCTTTTGCCAGCCCTCACTGTTTCTGGGACGAGCCAGAGTCCTTAGCCTCATTTTTTAAGGTCTCCATCTTTCCATTCTTATTACCAACGATGACACAAGTTGATCTACTCTTTGTTCCTAGAAGAGGACCTCACCAATTTCCCTCCTTCCTCTTTTTTTCCTATCTAGCACTTTGACCCTCTCACTTATTTCAAATTTCAGCATCTTTCAAGGCTCATTTGCACTTCTCATCTTTCAGCCTCCTTTTCTATTTTTTTTTTCCTCACCTGAGGACATTTTTGCATTCATCTTCAGATAGAAAGGGAGGGAGAGAGAAAGAAAGAAAGAGCAAGAGAGAGAGAAACATTCATATGACAGAGACACATCAACTGATTGCCACCCACACAACCCCAAGGGGGGCCAGGAATAAACTGCAACCAAGGTACGTGCCCTTAGCTGGAACCAAACCTGGGTCTCTCTGGTCTGCAGGCCGACACTCTAACTGCTGAGTCAAACCAGCCAAGGCCCAGCCTCCTTTTCTAGAAACCCTATGATAAGGTCATTAATAGATACTCATTGGCCACTTCTAATGTTAATGTCAATGCAGGTCATGTTTCCAACCACAGAAAGCACTCTTCAGGGACAGAGAGAGAATTCTGTGCTTTTCTGTGACAAACACTCTCTCCTTGACCCAACTCTGGTCAGGATACTCTTACTATCTAGGCCTCAACCTTGGCTTAAAAAGACCTGAACAAACACTAATGTGTTTCCTAACAGCTTATAGCCACATCGCTAGGATGACCCTAGCCCTCCCTTAAAGTGCCTCTTTGAGAAAATTTAAGGCTGCCACAAAAATGTCCTGTTTTTTTTTTCAGCTGACACCTGCGAATAGGACTCCTGTCTCCCAGTCTCTGTGAAAGGGTAAGAGTCTAACTTCAATAAGTGCCAGTTATCAAACTCAGATGGTTTTGACATGGACTGATTCCCCCTTCACAATTTATAAAATTTTTCACTTCCCTGATTCTATTGGGCCCCTTATCAAGTCCCTCCCTATTCCTTCATTCTAACTTTAAAACTCCTAGGGAGATTCCAAAATGACCGCAGAGTGATTGGAAGCTACACAGATGAATCCCAGGACCAAACTGAAATTACAACTAAAATAAGGACAAATCATCAGAAAAAAGCAACAGAAAAGCAGCTTTCGAGGACCATATGACCAGGGACACTGAACAGATCCTGGTAGGATTGCAGAGGCATGAGAGAGGGCCTGGGAGCCCACAGACAGCAGCTGTCTTAGCTGTGAGCAGCAAGCTCGAGGTTAAAATCCCAAGCACGCTCCACAGCACAGAGGGCCAGGACAGAGCACTAAAATAGCCACAACCACTCACCTTGGGCTCTGACACAGAGGGAAGACTAGACGGAAACTGTGTGGAAACACTAGGGATTTGGAGAGT